TCAAGAGACTGAACTGAAGTGTGTGTGTGTGTTTCCATATTTAAACTGTTTACTATAAGCAGCGTGTGCTTAGATAAAGTCCGTTTTCATTTCATTAGCGTCTCACTTGATCTCGCTGAATTATCTGGAGTCTGTCCAACCGAGAGAAACATTTTGTAGAGTGAATATCACACTTTCATCATCCCAGAAATACGGCATGACTTCACTTCCTGACTGAAAGCCATAAAAACAGCTGCAGGCGCTTATGATTTTAATTTAGTTAAGTGCAAATATTCAATTTGGCCAGAAGAATGAAGATCTGAGCTGGAATGAAGCCGTCTCTGGAGAGCAGCAGGAGTCTCGGCATTTCATATGTTCAGAATAGCAAACTACGCACACTAGTATACTATTTTTGCAGTGTACTGTACACAGTTTGTGTCTTGTGTGCATGCATTGGATTCCCGGATGATTGACAGAAATGTGTAGTACATGATCAAAGCACACTGTATCTCACAATGCAATGTGCTTGACTTTGAACATGAGTTACGTTCACACTTTAAATTGCATTAAAATGCGAAATGGCATCATTGCATAATGTGTTCTGTATCATAATGTGTTACAGTAATCAGTATGATATAGCAATCCACACATAATTTACTGTTCAAAAGTTTGGAATCAGTAAGATCAGTATCTTTAAATTAATTTTGAAAGAAGTCTTTTATGCTCACCAATCAAAGTTGCATTTATTTGATCTAAAAAACAGTACAAAAATAAATATTTAAAACAGATTTTTTTATATAGTAAAATGTAATTTATTCCTGTGATCAAAGCTGAATTTTCAGTCTTCAGTGTCACACGTTCCTTCAGAAATCACTCTAATATGAGGATTTGCTGCGCAAGAAACATTTATTTTATTATTTTTTTTAATGACATGTATTTATTGATTATTCAAAAACATTTATTTATTGATTATTCATGTTGAAAACAATTCATATCATTTCGGAAATATTTTATTTTTCAGGATTTTTTGATGAATAAAAAAGTCAAAAGCACAGCAATAATTTGAAATAGAATATTTTGTAACATTATACATTTCTGTACTGTCACTTTCGATCAATTTATTGCATCCTTGTTGAATAAAAGTTTATTTCAAAACATGAAGACCCCAAACTTTTGAACAATAGTGTATTTTTCCTGCTGCCATTTGTGTTTGCAAAACTATTGATACAGTAAAAATAATATTTACAGTATATTAGATATGACAATGTATGATTGGCTGAGATTTTGTCGTGTCATGCAGCATTTTAACATGAGGAACAGAATCCTGGAACGTGTCGTGTCACGTCTGGTTTGGACACGCTGTTAACATGTGGAATCACAAGGAATCTGTTTACTTTTAACGTTAAATCCGGCTGGGAATGTGACGCAGAAGATTTTGCACAGAAAGCATACTTGTCAGCTAGACAAGAACTCACAAACACACACACACACACACACAGAGAGAAACCCACAAACACGCATATTCTCCCGTGAATGATGGATTTTTTAGTCAATGAATTTGGAGCAGCTGAAGGTCACAAACCTTCATGTATAATGTGATTCAAATGTCAAAGGAGAATATTCACCCACTCTGAACAAGAACGGCATGAACGTTAAATAGAAAGATAGAAATGTGTGAGACTCAGTGGTGATCCAGCATGTTCCTGAGAGACAAAACTGGCCAAAAAAACGAGTAAAACACGACCAGACCTCGAGATTAAGTCTTTTCCTTCCCTATTGTACCTTATATCTGAGTGAAACACTTCTGGAAAAAGAACAAATGTGGGCGGGGCTTGATTTTGTCTGTGAGGAATTGATTGGATAGTAGTGGTTTGCTATTGGCTGATCTCATGTGAGTGACAGGTCGCCCCGCCCACATCATCAGAGAAGAGAAGAGATGCTGCGAGAGGAACTTATTCTGATTCAAGATTACCAGGAACAGGATGTTAAAAAATAGTGATGTGCATGGGCAAATCATTTATACTTTAAATGTGTTTTTCTGATAGATGTTTCTCCACATCCACAGTATTATCCCCTATGAAACGAATCAAACAGGAGTGAATAGCAAATGTCATGGCTAATGTGTGAGGGTAGAAAGATGCAGAAGTGCAGTGAGAACCAAACACTCAATTACAGGATCATAGAAAACTCACTAAGCAGAAGAGAGTAAATCCCTGAGTCTGTGCTGCTTGTGTGTGTGTGTATGTGTGTGTGAGCGATGAGCCCCTTAAAAATTAGGCCTTTCGCGCCCAAGTGTGGTGGGAAAATCTGCAGTGGATGACAGGAATTTTAATGCTTGCAAACGTTCTTGTTCTGAGTCTCTCAAACTGTCTCTCAAAATCCACATGGCTTTTTGGCCTGGTAAAAAGGCATTACATTACCAAAGTTCCGTTGTTATGCTATTTTAAAGGTTCCTCATTTTGTTTTGGAGTCTCCTGCAACTGGTTTACTCGCATCCAAGGTCGAAAAATACTTTAATTTTCTCATAATTCACATTATGGAAACTTGTTTCCGCCACTGAATAAAAGTAAATAAATAAACAATTACGACTTTTTATCTCACAATTGCGAGATATGAAGTCGCAATTGCGAGATACAAAGTCGCAATTCTGATAAATAAAGTCGCAATTTCAAAATATAAAGTCGCAATTCTGAGAAATAAAGTCACAATTTCGAAATATAAAGTCGCAATTCTGAGAAATAAAGTCGCAATTCTAAGAAACAAAGTCGCAATTCTGAGAAAAAAGTCACAATTTCGAAATATAAAGTCGCAATTCTGAGAAACAAAGTCACAATTCTGAGAAATAAAGTCGCAATTGCAAGAAATAAAGTCGCAATTCTGAGAAACAAAGTCGCAATTCTGAGAAATAAAGTCGCAATTCTAAGAAACAAAGTCGCAATTCTGAGAAAAAAGTCGCAATTGCGAGATATAAAGTCGCAATTCTGAGAAACAAAGTCGCAATTCTGAGAAATAAAGTCGCAATTGCGAGATATAAAGCTTCAATTCTGTGAAATAGTTACAATTGTGAGAAAAAAAGAAAGAATTGTGACTTTTTATCTCACAATTCTGACTTTTTTTCTCACAATTGCGAGATATAAAGTCAGAATTGCGAGATATACTGTAAAGTCAGAATTGCGTGATATAAAGTCGCAATTGCGTGTTTTAAAGTCAGAATTGTGATATTTAAACTATTTTGAGGGGAAAAAAGTTAGTCTTTTTTCCCCCCCTTAGAATTGGCCTGATTTCTCGCCATTGTGAGTTTATATCTCACAATTCTGAGAAAAGATGTCAGAATGTCGAGATATAAACTCGCAATTATGTGTGATAAAGTCAGAACTGCGAGATGTAAACTCGCAATTGTGAGAAAAAAAGTCAGAATTGTGAGATAAAAAGTCACAATTACCTTTTTTATTTTTCATTCATTTTCATACACATTCCCTCTTTTCTCTCAGTGTCTGAAACTGTTCGATCAAAGATTCAGTCTCTCTAAACCCCGCCTTTCCAAGAGCCTGCTCTGCTCTGATTGGTCAGATGACACAGTCTGTTGTGATTGGTCGATCGCTTACATTAGAATATTTGAATTTCAGTAGAAAATAACATCATAAACTCGACATAGACAACTCAAACCAAACTCTTCGAGTCTCAGATACAACTACAGTGTCTGAGGGTGGAGCAAAAAAGACGCTATATTTTTATTATGGCATTGCACAGCATTATATTTCATTTTATTGTCATGTCTGTACTTTTTTCAGCACGGGAAGCTCATGTAACCAAGACCAATTCCTTGTGTGTTGAAGCTCATTCTGATTCTGAAATTGTCAAAACATTGATTTGACACCATGAACGCCCATCCAATCACAATTATGAATTCTGAACTCGTAAGTTGGTCCTTCCCAGAGGATCTGAGAGCAGCATTACATGCAAACACCGCTCACTCTTGCTTCATTGGCTCTTAAGAGACTTCTTAAAGGGGATAAAACGCTGATAAGGCATTATGGCACACACACAGGCTCATAAAAACTATATAGCCCATCTTCCATTATGGATTCCATCAAGCTTTTTAAAAATGTGCATTAATCTAATTATCATTCACTGATGTACTTGTGCTCAATTTTAGTTCCAAACACTTGTGCAATAACTGAGGTCTCATGGTTTCCCATTTGATCTCTTCGTGTCAGTAAGGTTGCTGACCTCTGCACTACGGGAAAGAGTAAATGGAAACAGCATGCAAAGTCAAAAAAGTAGCAAAGTTGCAAACTATAGTCAGCCTTACGCAGTTTGAATACTTGTCGACAGACAGACATTCACTCGCAGAAAAGGAATTTACTCACTCTCACATTGTTCCAAAACTAAATTACTTTAGTTTCTTGGCAAATTGCTTCTTATGGGAACATAAAAAGGTTTGTTTTTGTTATATGTCACGGTCTTTTCAGTACAATGAATGTGAATGTGAATTGGGGCTGTCATAGCCTGCAAGCCAGACCCACATCAAGATGTTGAGTCTGGGAACTCCCCATTGGCAGAACTCAATCTGAAGGACAGGAAAAACGGTGGTCTTTCAAATTCCCTCTGCATGCAATAGAAAAGAAACTAAAGTAATTTAGTTTTGGAACAATGTGAGAGTGGATATGTGTGTGATTCAGCAACGACATGAGGTCAACTAACCCTTCAATGATCACAACTCTGGATCAGACTTTGTGTTCATGTGTCAGATGTCACTACTTCTCTCATGAATGCTTAGGAAAGTTCAAATAGGTTGGGATTTTAGCTTTCCAATGAACTCCAGACTTAAATTTGGACCTTTTCATCACACAAATATACTTCAGAAATGCATATGAAGGTTTTAATTTCGGATTTTCATAGACATGAAAATTCACCTTTAGTGTTCCAAGGACCAACAACATGAGAATGACTAAATAATGACATCAATTTCCCTTTTGGCTGAAATATTCCTTCAAGCCAAACACTTAGCTCTGTCTTACCTTCCAGAATGACTTCTTTGCCTGTTTTCTTCAGGGCCTGTACAGCCTCATCGTGAGTGGCTTCTCTGAGGTCGTTCCCGTTCACGGACAAAATCGCATCGCCCACGTAAAGAGCCTCCGTCTGGTCCGCTGCCAGCCCTTTGAAGATCTTTGAGATCAGGATGGGCATCTTATTCTCTTTACCCCCTGTAAAACAACATACAAATGTGGTCAATTTCAGTAGCAACATTTTTTGGAAATGCATACACTAAAATTTCTCGTTTTTACTGGTAGATGAACAGAGAACCATGGGCCAGTTGCAAAAACATAGACATATGTGTCTAAAGAACTAGTATGCAATTACTAAGAGCTAATCAACATTACTTTCCATGTATAAAATTAGATCAATCTACATTTTTTATGTAACTGAAGTCATGAAAGGTTTACTTATAAAACTAGTCTTATGCAACTAGTGGCCACAGTAAAAATCATGACAGATTATTTCTGGGAATGACAAAGATTGCGTTATAGATCATTTTTGGTGTAGATAATGCAGTAACTATTAAAATAAAAATACTTTTTATGTAAATAAATTCAATTCTTTCATGCAAAGACTGGTCGGCAAATATTACAAGTGAAATATACTTTGTGGTATTTTAGACCAGTGCCCTGGTTAGTCTTCCCATTTTAACGAATCCCTCTCATATCATGTTAATCTGTTGGACTATAAAATACTATGAGAGGAACATTTGTGGCTGCACAATATATTGAAATAAAATTGATATTGCAATATGGCTTAATCAAGTGATTGTGATCTGCATGCATCTAAATGAACACAGTGCAGCGCTTCACTCTGAAACTGGCAGAGAAAATATTTGTCGGCAAACTACCGACATGGTAATGTTTTAAAATACGGAAATTAAGACATTATGTCATTTTACAGCTGTACTACTTTATTTTATTAAATGCAATTTTCTATTTTACAGTATAATAGAATCATTGCAATTTATTTCTTGTTTTAATATTTTATCATTTAATATTAAACACAATAAAATCATATTATAAAAACTGTAAGCATTTATAGTTACTGAGTCAGTGTTCAAACCTAAGAGGATGATTCACACCAAAAAAAAAAAAAAAAGTATAATAATTTGTATGCAAATTTTCTACGCAGATGCACTCTCCAACAATATCACCTCAATGATTAATTATTTTCAGATATAGCTATCAAAGTAATCCGGTAAAAATCACTGTGTTTTATTTATATTGCAATGTACTGTATTTAGCAGAAAATACAAACTTTTTTCTAAAAAAAAGGCAACTATATATTTTTGTTTATTATATATTAATACAAATATACTGTGACAGAGTAATATTATAAATATGTAAAATTAATAGGGCTGTCAAACGATTAATCGCGATTAATCGCATCCAAAATAAAAGTTTGTGTTTACAATATATGTGGGTGCACTGTGTATAATTATTTATATATATATATAAATACACACACATGCATGTATATTTAAGAATAAAATAGTATTTATATATAAAATATTTATATTCATATATAATATGAATTATTTATAAATCTATACACAGTATATACATGAAAATATTTCTTAAATATATACAAGCATGTGTGTGTATTTATAAATATATAAAGTAATTATACACAGTGCACCCACATATATTATTTAAACACAAACTTTTATTTTGGATGCGATTAATCCCGATTAATCGTTTTGACAGCCCTAAAAATTAAGTTTGAAAATGTTTAGTTCCAATTAATGTTATATTATTCTTTTTTTTTTTTTCAACTTACTATGCCGAGTACTACTTACTATGAAGAGACACAATGCCATTAACTATTCACACAAATCATGACATACAAAAAGTCTAGTTCTAGACGAGTTAAAAAATGAGCATTCATATGCATTGTTAAATACAGAACAACTGCATAAAAATATACCCTAAATATTACATTATTAACTAAATGCATTTTTACATGTACTTTTCTGTTATGCACTTTCTGTAAAGCTGCTTTGAAACAATATGTATTGTGAAAAGCACTATACAAATAAACTTGAATTGAATTGAATTGAATAAAAACCCAACTCAGCTACTGATGTTGATGTGATTTATGGACAACACCGTAAAACCAATCAAAATTTCATCGACTTCGTCCTTGATCTGGGGTGTGTGCTCCACATATTACAGACCGATACACATATATCTTCTTTAGTGAATGATGGTTCGGTTTGTGGCTTTCTCGAGCATGCGAATGAAATATCCAATGAGAATTAGGCAGCTCATACTCTTTAAACTTACATCTAGAAATTCAACTGCATGTGAAACAGCCACCTTGTGTATACTAGTGTATACATGTGCTTCTTCCTCACCAGCATCATCAGCGTGCATCAGAAGTGGTCTCGTCTAATTACCCCTAATCTGCTTTCAGGGGTTTTTTACCCTCTATTCTAGTGACCCTTTGACCCTTAAAGACACATGCGACGCGAATGCGGGTGGGATCTCGGCTCCTGCCAGACACTGTTGGCAACCTCCGGTCTCTCTGAGGAGCTCCAGCACGTTATCAATCATTTCTCGCTGCAGTCCCTGCCAGGACGTCCCGCACAAACACACTAATGCTGGAATGCAACACTGACTGCATCATTCTTGTGCAAACACAGTGTTCAAAGGTCTGAGAAAACGCTTCTAATGTAGCACAAATCTTTCAATTTCTAAATATATTATTACCATAACAATTTGAGTGAGTTGAACCTATACTTTTGTATGCCAGTGTACATCAGAACTGTGTTACAAGCAAGGCTGCATGATTTGAGGTAAGGACATTTCCTGAAAAAAATTACAAAATTATAATTATAATTATTATTATAAGTGCTCCAGTGCTTTTTTGTAGGATTTCAGAATCAGAGCAACATTTTTGTGATTGATTATACATCAATATAATTAATGCAATTTAATGTAATTATTATAAATTAATACTTATTTTATTATTAATATGCATTATAAGTATTATTGTCAAATAAAATATTCAACTAAAATATAAATATTAAACTAATAAAATATTGAACAAAAATATTAAAAAATAAAATATTAAACAAAATAAGAAATATTACTATTATTATAATACTTTTGCATTGTAAGAAAAGACATTTTAGAAAAATAGCATTAAATATTGTAGTAACTGTTAAATTATTATTAAAATATATAATTATAGAAAATTAGGGAGAAATATTATAAAATAGATGAACAAAAATGAACAAGGCTTTTGGATGTCACTGTTATATCAGAGTTGTGTTAGAAGCAGGGCTGCATGATTTGAGGAAAAAAAAAATAATTGAGTTCCCACTATCTCTAGTCCGGGTCTCCGCATCATAACCACATCACACAGGTTATTTCAGTACAGTAGATGCCTGTAATAATCCTGAGCAATAAAACTAATTCACAACAACATGGCCGAACGTTAATGAAAAAGGGCAGTAGGGCCATCACTTAATGCACTTACGTACATGCACTAAAACTAAATGTTTGTTTTGGGGGTTACAGCAGCAGCAATATGAAATGTTATGGTCATATAAGACGAAATGCCATACCACAGTTAAAATCCCCATATATGACAAAATAACTGCAATATGATTCGTGTAGCCCAATATTTGAATAATTCAAAAAACAAATTTTCTGTCATTTGACCGTTATCATTCATCACAGCACTGAGAATATGCAAATGTATTGGTAAATTATTAAAATATTACTTTAAAATCTAATATTTCACTTCTAAGTGGTTTGTCTGAGCAAAAATTTGGGAATTGCTGATTTAAGCCATAAACAAATGCAATAGTGCCCCTTGTGGCCATGCTGAAAAGTGCCCCTTGTAGCCATCTGAATTAAACTTCACATTCCGACATCCAATCGTCACCTTTGTTTATATAGCTTCTTTTTTTTTTTGACAATACAGATTGTATCAAAGTAGCTTAACAGTGATAACATGAAAATAATAGACCTTATTCACCAGAGAGTTAACGAAAGTTATCATGAGCATTGTAAAGTTTGAAGTGGATGTCATAGACCGGGAACTTACTAAAATGAGCGGTTCATTCATAAATCTGTAAGATCATGCTGTGGAAATACAAACCGGAAGAACATGAGCAGCGCAGAGCTGAAAAGGGGCGGGGCTACATGAGCTATATATGAGTAATCTAATTCTAATTGGATCATTTTTGACTTGTGACAAAAAAATACAAAACAAGCACAGCGTTCTTAGTGAGAAGAGGAGCTGTTAAGTTTTCATGTGTCAAACTTATTAAAAAAAGTTTAAAGAAAAACATAAATTGTAACATTTATAAAAAATAAATTGAATAAATGTAAATAGGAAAATGTATTAAATAAAAATTATAAATTATTTATATAATTAACTAATACCGTAGAGTAGGGATGAACGACATATCGGCCACCATATCGGTATCGGTTAGTTTTTTATGTTATCATTATCGGCCCGCAAAGAAAATTTGGTCGATATATTAAAGCCGATAAATAATGTATTATTTCCTTCAGCTGAGACGCTTCAGATGCGCACTGACTGTTCAACATGATGGCATTGAATTGCTTGAAATATGATTGGAATCACTGCAAAAAAGGAAAATACAGTGAAGTGCAACATGTGCAGCGCAAGTCTGTCATATCAAAATGAGAACATTATAATTGTGTATTTGGGACATTGATTTTATTGGTCAGACTTTTGCTTTTGTAACCAGGCTCTCAAAACTGACAAATATTTGGATTTAGATTTATCAGCCAATATATCGGTTATCGGCTTTTAAATATAAAGAATTATCGGTTATTGGTATCAGCCAAAAATGTCATATCAGTGCATCCCTACTATAGTAAGTTGAAAAAATTGAATAATGCAACATAATAGAAACTTAATTTTTACATATTTGTAACATTTATAAATATATAGTTGCCTTTTAAATTTTAGACTGGGGCTTCATTGCATGAGGATGATCATATCTGGGGGATCTGAAAGATTGAAAACTAAAGCCTTTTTCTCCGAAAGTGTCCGAACGACGGGTCCAAAGACTGTGCCACTGTAAATATAGACGTACAACTGCACTTCAGACTCAAGGCAAGGTCGTCCCTCTGTGGCTCCCTAAAATAAACAGCACCATACTCTTCTCTGCTCTCGTTCCATAGCTTTCATGTGAAGCCAGAGACAGGCTGAGGAGCATGATGGGTAATTCTCCAGTCAGCTGTCGACCCCCGAGAACACACACATACTGCAGGATTCACTAACCCGTAAATCTCACACGACGCGACATCATGCAAATCATTAGAAAACATCAGAACTGATATGGTGGTCAAATGTTTTTTCTCTAAGGTCTTCACTTAATGTGACAGCTGTCACAGTTTTAAGATAGCCCACTAAAAATAACCAGAAACCCAAAAGATGTTGTACCACCAGTGCAAGAAGATAATAGGCTACCATATACTGAAATTAATGTATTTTATGGCACTCTCAAAATTGAGACCATATTGCCATGGATTACATTAAATGAGCATAAAAAGTACAATAATACTGTTTTTATTTTGCTACCATAGTATTGGAAACCCCATTTAGAACTAGTGATCAACCGTTTTAACGATATTTCCCCGATATTTGCATTAATATTTTTACATAATCAGGTTTTATTTTAATAGGCCTATTACCATCTCTCACCATAACTTTACCAGGAAGGAATCCATAGCCTACATGTCCAAGAAACCAGGATTTAAATAACAATAAAATATTTTAAAAGCTCTGAAGTAGTGGTGTAAAGTCCAGCATAAGCTGCTAACTTAACTTACATCATATTTATGAATCCCGAATGAGTGTTTCCAAACTCTTCAGGAACAACAAGTTTAATAACACTTTGATAAACTACTCGCCTTACCCTTAATACTTATTCCGAGTCCTCCGACCTCTTGTTTGGTGACTCTGACGGTTCGCTTGACGTTGGTGATGGTGTCCGGTACCGGGGAGGCGCTGAGGTTCGCCGGATCCCCGTTAACAGCTCCGGGCGCGGGCGAGCAGCTGTTCCCGGTCTCATCGCCGGTTTCTCCGGGACTCACGGTGAACGAGTCCTCGCTGAGAGTGGCAAGCACGCGGATCCAGTGGTGAACGGTAACGCGGAGCTCCAGCAATCCGCTCCTCACGGGCTTCACTGCGGCCGCCATGATCAACACATTCCTGGAATACCAGCGGAGCGACGGGCGCTGCAGTCCCGAACTCAACTCACTATAACCCCCTCCCTCTCTCTCTCTCTCCCTCTCTCTCTCTCTCTCTCTCTCTCTCTCTCTCTCTCTCTCTCTCTCTCTCTCTCTCTCTCTCTTTGCGTAGTTGGTGGACTGTTTACCGAAGTTTGTTGAAATCTGCGGTGTTAATAAGAGAAATTAATTGGTGTTGACTTTTTAAATATACATGTGTGTAAAAAAAAATATTGTTGGATGAAGTGTAAATAGCCTAAGTCAAGACTAAATTGTTACAATAAAGGTGTATTTAAAATTCAAATTCGCTCTCTCTCTCTCTCTCTCAATTAACTTTTTTTTTCTTTCAACTTTCATAGATGTTTACAATGGCATTTAAAGCCAAACAGATATTGGGGGAAACATATAGGCTAGCCTAACATTGGCCCATCTTACATTGTACTGAGTAAATCATTAAATTCTACAAATATTTTTTTTCAATATAAGAAATGTTTTTTTTTATAGGCTACAGTTCTTATTTAGTGATTCTAATCAAAATATGACTTTCTGTTATGAAACAGAACATTGATTTCATACATGTCCACTAGAGACACCAATGACTTACATGCATGTTTATCAGGCATTCTGAAATTATATATACATTTTCCAATGAAATAGCCTAAGTTATTGCCAGATAAGAACACATGCAATTCGATACAGTGATAAATTGTACTGAATGGCACTACACTTGTGGCCATTTCACCCATGTATAAAGTATATATTTCATATAACTGAGAATTATCTTTTTTGCAAAGTTTGGTTAAAATATTTTCCACATTTTTCTTAAGCTTTAAACAATAGGCTAATGACATGAAAAAATACTAAATTCAAAAAAACTTTTTTTTTCTTTCTTTCTAGTTTTAAGGAAGCTATGTTATACTCCGCCATAGTGGACGTCAGGACTCAGTTGTTTAAAATATAAAAATGTGTGTATGTGTGTGTGTGTGTGTGTGTGTGTGTGTGTGTGTGTGTGTGTGTGTGTGTGTGTGTGTGTGTGTGTGTGTCATAACTGATGTCATAACTGGTGTTTGTTTTTTGTTTTTGTTTTTTTGCATAACATTTATAGTACATTTTTAGCATGCCTAATTTTTGTGAGTGTATTATTTTTATCTCCAGATCTGAGCTGTCAGATAAAGCACAGCTGAAGCTCTTCATCTGAAGCTCATCTCCAGACTCCTGCTAATGTTGGGAAAGAATCTCGTTTGCATTGACGGCACAGTGTGAAACTATTCGAACTAATTCCCGAAGAAAGGCTCTAATTAGTCTCTTCATAAGCGGAAAAGTTTGGATTGTTCCAGCAAATACAAGGACCCAGAGCTCCTCACTGACACACACATATAAATCACTGATTCTGCAAACTTTGTTCAGTCAAAACACAACTTACTGTACAAATGCAGCCAGTGTTGCTTCTGTTCAGTGTTTACAGATTCCTCTCCTCAATCGAAGTAACTGTGTCTCCATCTAGTGGTGAAATCATTCTTCAACTGCACTCATGTGTAAATCAACAGTTGATTTACTTTATTTACAGTCTATGTTGAATACCAACATTACAGTTTTTCTCAATTGCTAACCAGCACTGCCCCCCCCCCCCCCCCAAGCGTTTTGATTATGCTTTTGTTTATTGAACTAAATATAGGCCTACTGTTGTTATCTTATATAACCAATTTAGGCATAGGCCTATATGCACTGATATCGAATAGAGATTTAATTACATGATATTTGTGTATATTTTCACATGCATACTATTAGAGAATTGATATTGTTAAAATATAATAATACTAAAATAAAATAAAAATGCATGGTTCAAAACTCTTCGCACATTCAGAGAAACAGTGGGCTAGTCTATGCTGACCATCTTTCATTGCTTTCACACAAAATTCATTCAATGAAATCCATGAACATTTTTTGTCATTCTCACTGTACCATCTGCAAAACACTATTTGCAGCATTTTTTCTAATGTTAACACACTGCTTTCAAAACTAATAAAGGCAAATCAGTTTGATGGTAAACTCTGCAGTAATTATATTGAAATATAAAATGTTAGCAAAATATTTACAATGAAATTAAATAATAACTATCACAAACGAAATTGCAATTTCAGTCCTATTTTTAGTTTCTAGGCCTATGGTAATTTTTTCAATCATCTTTTGAAAATTCGGATGGCTTCAGAATGAATTTGTTTGGAAACATGGATCAAGTAAGACACATTCATAGGGAAATAAGAGTGGGAACGAGGGAGAACTGGACCCTCACCATCCTGTACATCTATACTGTACATCCATACTGTATGTTTGCACTGTACATCTGAACTGTACATCCATACATTTTCCAAACTGCTTGTCCTGTGTGTTGTGGGGAGGCTGAAGTCTTTCCCAGAGTCTCGGGTTGTGGAGAGGTAAACACCCTGAACAGATGACACACAATTCTGATTTCTGATCTTTTTGTTTTGTTGTTGGTTTCTAATTATCATTGCATCAGGATTTTGTTGTTTTGTTTCAACTTTTAATTTTTTTGCATGTAAAATGACTATATGTAGGCTAAAGATATAGAAAACAATGCTTAATTTCTCATTCATCATTTATGTCATCATTCACAGTCAGTAAAATAAAAATATCTTATTCTTGAGCATATTCTTTTCTTATGAGATCCTATTCTTTATGTGTATAAAAAACATTCAAAAGTTAAAAATAAAAAGTTCAACTTTAATTTAATGCTCCCTGTGTTTCAGTGTTTTTAGGTCAGTGAGTTATGAATGACGTGTTTTTTCAATGAGAATTTCTGCCAGTGTTTTGGTGAAATGAGTTTAATTTGAGACTGCATGAAGAGTATAAAAAATGTGGCTTCAGTATTGAACAATGCTTGTTAGCAAAGTAAAAAATTATATATTATATTATATTATACTATATGATATTATATTATACTATACTATGCTATACTATATTTCTGTATTATATCTGTAAAATATAATAATATGCCATAGTATTTACTTATTCTCCAATATTTTTTAAACCATGTAATATAGCATTGCATTGTGTGCATGTGTGTGTGTGTGTGTGTGTGTGTGTGTATTTGGGGGTGTTGTATGAATATTTGCATTTTTGGTTTGGGTGTTTTCTACCATTACCATCTGTTCTCATAATCCTTCATGTCTGTCTGGTCTCAGACCTGTCGTACATCTGTCTGTGTAACTGTGCGGTGTATCTCTCTCTCTATCTGTGTGTGTGTTTGTTTTATGTTTTCATTTTTGGATGTGCTTTCATGATTCTGTGTGTACAGTATGTATGTTTTTATCTAGATAGACAGGATAGATGTGCTATATCTTAAACTATTTTAATCAACATATCTTTAAGTTCTTTATAGTCTTTAATTCCTTTAATAGTATTTTAGAATTATCCTCAAACCACAGTAACACTTCACAATAAGGTTCATTTGTTAACATTGGTAAATACATTAACTAACATGAACTGACAACGAACAATGCAATTTTAAAACATTTTTCATTTTTGTCAATGTTAGTAAAAATACAATTGTATATTTGTTTGTTCGCGCCGCATTAGCTATTGGTAACAGGTACAACTTTTAGTCGAATTAACATTGACTAATATCCATAAATGCTGTATTGTTCATTTTTAGCTTATTTTAGCATTTTAGCTTTAGAGACAGTCACAGGAACCCTCTTTTTATCCTTATACATATATATGTGGACCTAAGATCTTGATGAAAAATATTTTTTTCATTGAAATAAAATATATATAAATATTCGATAAAAAAACCCTAAAATAAACAAAATATATAAATGCTGCTTTGGCAACGAACAGAAATAAGTTTGAGCTAAAATTACTGAAAATAAACTGGAAAATGGAATAATATTCAATACTAATAATGCTCGAAAAAATAAACCTAAATAGTCATAAAAATGCACGAATGTACTAAAAATTAGTAAACACTGAAAATATAAAAATTAAAGTTATTTCTAAATATTTAATTAAACTATATTAGCATATGAAGAGTTCAGATGCAAAAGCCTCTAAATGCCATTTGAAATTTTCTTCTTTAATGATGATTTTTATCAAACTTGTATATTTAAGTTCAGTAATTTCACTTAAATAACAATTAATATGTAATTATCATTGCCATTTAAGTGAAATTACTGAACTTAAATATACAAGTTTGATAAAAATCATCATTAAAGAAGAAAATTTCAAATGGCATTTAGAGGCTTTTGCATCTGAACTCTTCATATATACAGTATTATACTAAAATAATGTGCAGTAAAATTTTATATACAACTTTAAGCACAACTTTATTTCTTATTATCCAAAGTGCCAAATCCAGTCTACTGTATGCGTGTGTTTGTATGTGTGTGTTTGTTTGTGTGTATTACTTTAAGCAAACCTTTATTTCTTATTTTCCAATATTTTCCAACTTATTTTCCTTTTTAAGTGCCAAATCCAGTCTACTGTATGTGTGTGTGTGTGTGTGTGTGTGTGTTTGTTTGTGTGGAGTGTGTCAGTGTTTCTTTGTGCGTGTGTGTGTGTGTTAGTGAGCGTGTTTGCCTGATAAAAATGAAATGTAAATGCATATGTCTGTGCTGAGGAGGAGCTGTATGTCAGCATACGCTAAGCCGTCCCTGGTGTCCATCTGCTCATATATAACCTTACTGTCTCTAAGTGGTGCGCGTGCGTGTGTGTGTGTGTGTGTAGATGTCTTTACCCTGGAGGGTTAACCAGGCGTCTGCCTGCTGACCTCTGTGACCCCGGGTCTTTGCTCAGACCTCAGGAGAACAGCAGGTACACACACACACACACACACACACAGGAGCAGAACAGCAGGAGAATAAGGGCGGGGGGGGGGGGGTCGTGATGGAAAGCTGTTGCATTGTGAAAGACCTGCTAATGCACTAAACAGACCACTGACAAAGACACACACACTCAGAGACACAAGCCCAGCTGTCAATCACACACACGCTGGCACGAGTCACATCAGCAGGGCGACTTCTGCCATTCGGACTAATGCATTTCTGTCTTTGTTGACACGCTGCTTCATTTGCCCGTTACAAATTATCATCACAAAGGCCTGCTGGGTCACAAACGTGACGCATTCACAGACCACACACTCACTCCTCCGTCTGTCTGGAGCTGCTCGCTTTCATCAGTCTTGCAGCTGATGAGTTTAAGTGGTCAGTTCTCCTCAAGTTCACACTGGTGTAGACCAGAGAATCTCAGTAATTTACAGTCTTCAACTGTTGTTTTAGCACTAAATGACAGGGGTGTACCGATGCCGTCATGTCCTGATCCCATACACATCATGATACTGATCTCACCATACCATGTTATTGGGATACTCCAAGACATATGATAAAACGTTAACAAAAAATATGCTGTTGATTAAAATGCTAACTTTGGTGTGACAGTGTGTGTGTGTAAATGAACAGTCTTGGAATAACATAGATTACGGAATATAGATTATTTCAAAGCATCTTTACGTACTAAATGATTTTATATTCTGCATCTATTGCATCTCTGTCTCTGCAGGACGGCGGTGTTACTGTAATGTGTTTTTGTTGGGGAGCATCTGTCCCGCACGCGTGAGAGCAGGTGGAGACTCACTCGCCGGGGACTGGGGAAGAACGAGAGGCATGTGTTTGTGTGGGAGGCAATAGGAGGAGGGAGAGAGAGAGAGAGAGACACAAACAACACAGGTCAGTCTGAGATGAACAGGAGAACAGTTTAGAGTCAATGTCTTTGTCAGCTTCTCAGGGACCAATATTACTTAGAATGTACATTTCCAGAAGAAAGTGTGAAGTGGTGCCTGAAGTGGCATAACTCACCACTCGGTTGCAAGGGTGTGACATGATTGCATATGAGCCAACAAACAAGTCTGTATGATGTTCTGGTGCTGAGATATGGCTTATTCAGTCGTTCAGGTGGTTGTTATTATGGGTGGTTGCTAGGGCGTTGCTATGAAGTTGCTAGGATGTTCTTGATGCTTGCTAGGTGGTTGCTATGGTGTTGCTAGGTGGTTGCTAGGGTATTATGGGTGGTTGCTAAGGTGTTACATTATGTGTGTGTCGTATATATATATATATATATATATATATAAAGATAGTTTTATACTATAGATGCAACCAAAATATGTTTTATATAGGTATATATTATAAATATATTATACAAATATATTATAAATATGTTTTAAAAATATATAGGCTATATATATATATATATATATAGGCCTATATATATGACCTCATATATATATAGATATATATATACAAACACATTATATAAGTATAGCTTTCCATCAAAACTTCTAAAAAACATTCTTTTCTAAAAGATAATATACATCAGTGTTGATTTTCCAACTATTTAAAATTGTTTTTGCCATTTGAATTAAAGCTAAAATAAAATATACATAGTGGACAGAAAAAAAATCACATTTAAAAATAGGCTAATAAACAAAAAAATAATTTTAAAAATGTTATAAAATATAAGTTTATGGTGAAGGACTATTATGACTAAATCTGAAATAAACCTAAAGCTAAATAGATATATTTCAAGAAATTAAAATAAAATACATTTGAAAAGATAAAAATAAAAGCTCATTTAGAATATTTAATAAATAGCCTACTGTATAAGTATATAAATTATTCAATAAATAATACTAAAATAACACAGTAAGTGAGCTCATATTGCTTGAGAGCCTGTATGGAATATTTATTCTTTTATAATCTCGGTTTAATATAATAAAAAGTGTACTTTAATATATTTAATATATGCCATGGTCCTGAAATTCACATAATGGTACATGACCAATATAAGGAACTGAACTATCATTGTATTTGTTTGTGAAGGCCATTTGAGGACATGTCCCATGGGTTTACCATGTTTTCTGGGAATAAAAAGTGATGCAATGGGCATGGCTTAATGTAATCATGTATTATGGTATACGACACAATAATCATAGTAGGGCTACCGTAATAACATCAAAGTAACATCTGGTAGCATCACTGTACCATTGTATATCACCACAGATCAGATTCATTGTAAGAGTGTGTGTAGATTGTAGCTCCTCCTCCAGAAATAAACATGCCAGAGATGCTGTCAGTGTGTCTGTGTTCAGACCCCCATCAGACCCACACACACGCCACCGAGTCCGTGGAACTATAGTAAAGGAGACTGGACTACAACACCACTCAACACACACTTACGCAGACACACACACACCTCGGCTAGAGTCTGTCAGCGCGCGAGAAGAGCTCAGGATGGTCGGGATTCCGGGCGCGTTTCAGT